AGCCCGGTTTTCGGTTTTTCGGGACCGTTGGCCGTGTGCCTCGGTTCGGGACCGCCTAACCATCTCCGTTTGCTCTGATTTTTGGCATACATCTTATTTACTCCCTTTTGGGGGACACTGAGGTCTGAGAGACCCACTTTGTGGTCGAATGCCACTTTCGGTGCTTAACAGGCAGTTTTTGGGGCCCCTAACTGCGCGTTCTGGCCCCCGAACATTCGTTTTGTATCGGTTTTTGTTCTTTTTTTGGCAGGGACCTCTGTTTCATTGTTAAGAAGGTCGTAGAAGGGTGAGAGGCCAGCAATTGTTCTGACAACCAGTTTTATTCCTCCATCGCCCTCCATCACCCTTTTTTTCTCACTTAAAAGCCAATGTTGACCACCCTAAGGCCACTTTTTCTTGCCCCAAACCACATATTTGTGTTGTACACACATGGGAGGATCCTAATATCATATGGCCGGCCAAAAATTTCACCTGACCCTTTTGAACCCCTCCTAAAAATGGCCTATTCTCTCTCCTGTTTTACAGTTTAAAGTTTCCAAATTCGAACAACAGGGTTGTGATGAGGGTACCTGGGAGGAACCTTTTTGTGGTGGCCGGCCAGAAATCAACTTGCACTTTTTGACCCCTAGCCGGCCGGCTAGGGGGGCCGGCCGGCCACCTGCAGCTTTGAAAGGTGGCCGTTCATGATCCTCACAAAGTATACTTAACAGCTGTATAGCTGTTGTCCCCCAGAAATATCTAAATCCGGGGGACACCTTTTGGGGGAAAGCCTTGGTCTTTTCCCCACCCTTTCTCTCCATGCTCCCCCTCTCCTTGTCCTTATAACCAGCCTCCAACATTGTATTAGGGGTTAGAAAAAATTGCTTCAAGCATAGGCATCCAAATCTCCCTCTATCTCTCTCATTTTCTCAAAAACTCCTAAGTTCTACCCCATTTCTTCATCACCACCAAGCACCACCACCACCACTCCATTTCAGAACTTGGGAAGCTTTCCAGAAGCTAAGAGGCACCACTTCTCAAAGCCAAGAAGCAACAAAAGACTTGTCTTCAAGGGTGAGTACCATTTCCCCCTTTTTGAGCTTATTTTTGCAACATTTCTTAGCCCATATATGCTTACTGTTTTGAGCTCCGGCCCTAACTGAAAGTGGCCTTATTTTGAGCTCTTTTTCACTTTTTCTTAAGGGCTCAACCCTTTTGAGCCCCCACCTTGCACTTGCTTCAATATCTTCCTTGAATGCTATTTTCTTGCATGCTTTGGCAGCCCATTATGCTTCCATTTTTGGGCTTTTACAGAACTAAAAATAGTCTTATTTTGAGCCCCTCTTCAACATTGAAGAAGGGCTCATCGCTGTTTGGGACCTCCACATGCTACTTCATGTTATATCCCTCTTTGGTCCCTTTTCTTGCATGTTTTGGCAGCCTATTATGCTTCGGTTTTTGGTCATTTTACAGCACTGAAAATAGTCTTATTTTGGTCCATTCTTCATGTTTTATTAAGGGCCTTTCATGTTTGGGACCTCCATATGCTACTTCATGTTATATCCCTCCTTGGTCCCCTTTTCTTGCATATCTTGGCAGCTATTGTGCTTCAGTTTTTAGTCATTTTGCAGAACTAAAAATAGTCTTATTTTGGCCCATTTTCATGTTTCATTAAGGGTCTTTGGCTGTTTGATGAATATTTTGTATACTTTGTGTTATAGCCACTTTTGAGCCTCATTTTGCATTGCATTTCTAGCATGTTTGTATACTGATTTTGGGCTGTCATAAACTGTAAATGTGCATATTTTTGTCCCTCTTCAGTGTTGTAGAAGGGCATTTTTCAGTTTGGGTTTTACATATACCACTTGTTTCATTGCCCTCTCTTGCCCCTATTTTTGCATGCCATTGTTGCCCTATTTTGCTTGCTGTTTGGCCATGATTTGTACTGGTAAAATGCTTATTTTGGGGCCACTTTCTTCTGTCTTTTCATTCCATGTACCAATTATGCATGCTTTGTATAACTGTAGTTCATTCTATGTGCCTAATTTTGCATTTCGGGAGAGATTCCATGCATCGGGTGTACTTTCGCCTCATTTCGGGGCTGTTTTCCCCACATTTCAGTGCTGAAATTCCATTAGCATGTTTTCATATCATTTTCCATGTTATTGCATTGCAATATGCCATTGCCTCGATTTGCGTGCCGTGTGCACGCGTTTCGAGGCACTTCATTTTCCTCCATCGGCCTCTATGTGAGTGTGGCTGAGGCTCTCTCATGTTAGTGTAAGTCATGTTGCATTCTATATGCCATTTTAGCCATATTGCATTGCGTATGCCATTGCCTCGGTTTGCGTGCCCGTGTGCACGATTTCGAGGCACTTCATTTTCATCCATCGGCCTTTATGTGAGTGTGGCTGAGGCTCTCTCATGTTAGTGTAAGCCCATATCACATTTCCATGTCATTTACATTGGTATGTCATTTTCTCGTTTGCGTGCCCGTGTGCACGCATTTCGAGCATCTCATTTTTACAGCATAGTGCATACTAGGTTGTATCTTAGATCACTTCAGTCATTTTCTCGTTTGCGTGCCCGTGTGCACGCATTTTGAGACATCTCATTTTCATAGCATTGTGCATGTCAGGCTGTATCTTAGTTGCATTTCATGCATGTCATGCATATTACATCGTGTTCGGGATAGGAGTTAGCCCGGGCACGGGAAACGAGGTGCGTTTCGTACTCCGAGTGACGGAACGTGTCTCAATTCCAAGTCACCGACACTCCGGATCATCCATGATGGAGTTAGGTTTCTTGTTATGTTTACACGTGCATTCATTCTATATTGAGTTGCACATTTCGACTCCTCTGCCATCATGCATCGATATGCGTGATTGGTGGCACGAGGATCGAGGCATGCATATATCTGTGAAAATACATTGCTATGCCCCTTTCCTGCTCTCTGTTGCAGCAAATGAAGAATCAGCAAACTTCCGGAGTTTGGCGCGCTTTCCAAGAAAAATCACAAAACAGAGGCTAATTGGGGCATCCCAGTGGATTTCCGCGCAAGGCAACCCAGACATGCATCGTTCATCAGAAGCAAGGCAGTCCCTGGCTTGCACGCCAGTTTTACAGTTTTCTTAGTTAATTTGATTAATTAATTAGGAATTTGTATATTATTTGGACTGTAATATTTATTTGGACTGTAATATTCTTGTATTCGGGACTGTATATTTGTTCGGACCCTCTGTGCGAGGGCATAATTGTAATAAGTGTGCGTGAGTGTGATGTATGTCTTCCAACCCCACGTCTTTCTTCCCTTTTATTTATCCGCTTATGATGGTTAGATTAGGGCATATTTCAATTAGCATACAGTATGATAGCATGTTTGCATTCATTCATCTGTTTTGCATGCACCGGGCTCGGCGCACCATACTAATTGCATAGTATTTCAATTTCAAAGTTGAATACGTGTTAGCTGTAGCATTCCATATGCCAGTTTAGAATAGCCGAGCCTGCTATAGTTGCATTTTGCATGCGCTGCATTGGGCATTTCTGTATACTTAGGATCATGCATGATTTCTAAATAGTTTCTATTTTGGCTTGGAGTACTCGGTGAGTTTTATGCTTTAGCATCCTTGCATGCGTGTGAGTGATGCCATGAATAGCATGCTTACCATGAGGCTATGTGCTTATGTGATATAACTGCCTGAATGCCTGTGGGTGAAGGTTGGGTTGTTTAAATTGGAACAAATCAATTGACTGTGAGTTTTAAGCCCACTAGATGTGGCAAAACCATCTTTTTCTAAGCCCACCTGCGGGTGGCAAAATCTGCATTTTAAGCCTACTTGCGAGTAGCAAACCATCTTTCAAATAAACAAACATGAAATGTTTTGTTCCAATTCGGGCACCCAGTCTATACTTATATGCTGTGTGCGTCACATAGTAACCTAGGCTAATAACCGGAATAAGGACATACAAAGTTTTCAAAAATAGATATCATGGTTAGTAGAGGCCGATCTTTGATCGGGCGAGCGGGGGTGCTCACGAAGTGACCTTCCCCAATCGTACCCAAGTTCCCGAGCCGAGGCAACTTTGGTGATGACGGACACGTGGCTTAGGCAACGAGTCAGGTTTCCTAAATTTCCAAAATAAAATATTTAGGTGGCGACTCTGTATCTGGCAAAGCAGTCCATGTTTGGCACTTCTTTCAAAAATCTATTTTCTCAAAAGATTTGCCAGATTTGGACTCTTTGGTTCAGATTA